GGGACGAGTGGGCCCCGTTAGCGACCGATGAACGTTCATCAACGAACGTTTTGCCTAGGTCGCCACTGGAATACCGTGAGAATGGAGAGTGATGTTCGTTGCCAGGTAAGATTAATTGGTGTACCCAGCTGTGTGCCATGAACGATCCGCCAGGAGGGTCCCTCTTCTTGCTTTTTAACACTCTTTAACCTCTCAACTGGCGAGATAACTCTGTTCTTCTGCAGACTGAGGGTCATTATGCAGTGACCTTTTCTTATGTTGATAATCACGCACAAGTTATTCAGTCAGAGATCCCAGGGTCGAATTCTTGTGAAGTGGAGTTTGTGAACTGGAGCGTTATACTAGGTGGCCACTGCTTCCCAAAACATATCCAATAGTCTTGCCATTGTTATCGGAATGGGTTAGCATTGCAAAGCGTAGGACGCATAAATGGCGCGCAAGTGTACCTTAATAAAAGCCAACTCTAGCCCAGAGTTAGCTTTCTTCCCTGGGTCAGCGGAAAAATATGGTCGTCCTGCGTCATTAAAACTGGTTATATTTGACCTTGCGACAAACATGTTGATTCCGGTTCTGTGGAGTGGTCTGTCATTAGAACGGAATGCTTATTGAGTGAGGGATGAAGGCCAATGCAGTGAAGCAATTCTGAATTATAGTCTCCTTCACGTTCAGTTTTGAAGTAAATCTCAATAGAAAATCCTTGAAAAGATCTTTAGGTTTTTTTCTAACGATTTTATTCTTTATCTGACATTTTATTATTGTTGGAGAGAGCTGGTGGTTAGACGGACTAATGGCACGAGAGGCATCTTCTGCCCATCAGATTCACTCACATTTAAATTAACGTGCATTCAGCCCATGCTGATCGTCATCCTACTTACTAGGAGGGCACTTGAATTTTTAAGTAGCCGAGTGAAGTCATTAGGGCAAAATACTACTTTGTCAACAACGTGGACAATAAAGTTAAGCATAAAGGACTTAGCGGAAAACCGGCTTTAATTAAAACTGATTAGATCGTAACTTCCGGGCGCATCAGCTCCCTTTCTGAAGCTCATTATACAGAAACATTTATCCTTTTGCACATTAAGGAGAATCGCTAAAACGCTTAAAGGAAACAAACCAAACATCAGGCAGAAAAAGTGCGAATAAAAATCTTCCTTGATACTCCTTAAAGTGCAGAGATGCTTCTCGTAAGCATCAACTCGGCATCGCTATATTCTTACATTTCCTTTACTTTGTATTTGTAGATTTAAAGCGGGAGGCAAGTATTTGTCATCTGCTGAAGCATCCACACATAGTTGAGCTTGTCGAAACCTACAGCAGTGATGGCATGCTATACATGGTTTTCGAATAGTAGGTCATCCTTTCTTATATTTTCTCTGATTATGTAGTTATATCATGTAATTGTGAGACAAGATATGTCAAAAACAATTTTTAGTGTTATTAACTGCTTTTCTAACAAATTTCTGCACTGGTTTATTTGTTGTTCATTTTCGTTTTGCCCGTACAATGATATAGATAAGAAATATGCCTACAATACTAAACAGAAAGAGAACATAGCTTCATAATACCCTTGATTTGTATCCCATTTAGAGCAAGTTAAAAGCGTGAGCATTTTCATTACTTGTAATAGTGTTTACATTAGTTGACTTGGCTTTATTTAAAAGGTACAAATTCATACCACAACAAATTATTTAGATCTTTGATTGACAGGTAGTTTTGCTAAACAGCTGTTATGGGTAATTTTTTACCTTCCTATCGTTCAAATTTCCTGGGGTTGTACTGCTTTCACATCGAACGTAACAACGCCTTTGGCGACACTTTGCGATAGGGCAACGTTAGGTCTAAGCGTTACAGTTATAAAGAGGAAAGGGGAATAAAATAATCTTGCATAAACTAGTGGGAGTCGAGTTTCCATGCTGTAGGGCCATAATAAGTTATTTCATATTTGTGATAGTCTCTCTAATAGTCTGGCAAGGTTTCGAAATAGGAAACATGCTGACATATATTTTACATTTTAGCATGGAAGGTGCGGACCTCTGTCTGGAAATAGTAAAGCGCGCAACGGCTGGCTTTGTTTACAGTGAGGCTGTAGCAAGGTAAGAACCGCCTATTCTACTATTTACGCCTTTGAAATCATCCGGGAATCTCCTAGAGTTAAGAGTAAATTAATTTCTACTGTTAAATAGTAGGATCACCTTTTCGATAAAACACCATGCTACAATCGTTTTGCCGAGCAGCGACTCACAGGAACTTAGTAGTGGCAAACCAAGCAATCGTTCCATTTGTTGAAAAGAATCTCTTGTAGATTGATCCGCTTTAGGTTCACCGTTGGCTAAGTCAAAAATCATTAACTAACGATATTTTTTAAGATAACTGCGTTCGAAGTTCATCTGATGTATTCGACTCTCCGATAACTTTTCGTGAAGGCCCTATTCCCGAGCAAGGTGATAAGAAAAATATTTATTTTGGGCATTTAAAAAGTGCCTGAAGAAACCAGTTGCCGTCTGTTTTCCAAAGTTGTAGTCTCGCATGCACGTCTGACTGAACATTTTAAGAGAAATGAAGACAGTGGGCCTTTGATTCAAAACGAAATATTGGCATTTCGAAAACTTCGTGCGAAATTCACCACTTAATTCTTGGGTGGGTTTTGCGTGCCAAACGTTTTTTTCTCAAAAAGCTGGCAATAAATTATTGTGAAAGAGTTGAAACAGTGATGAAGCGTTAGCCATTCAGAAACATTTATACTCCTGAATTTTGATTTTTAGTTTATATACTGTTTCGTCTCAGTCAGTTCATATTAATTAGTTTATGGGCAATCCACGCACCAAAATGACCACCTTGTATATTAAAAAGGCTGTTATTTTGAAAAATATAACCATTGCCACGGGCTTACGAAGGTCAGCACATTTTTCACTTACTAAGGTCTACAGTTTTATCGCGTTTTGGTTATGTTAACCGATTTGTCGAAGTGTTCATAGCAGAGGAGTAAAACCTGTTCTATGGAACAGCGCTTTAAATTGTATTTCTTGCATATAAGAACTTTTAAGAACTATACCATATTTTTTCAAATAGTGGTCGCCTGTTTACCAAGGTAATATATACTCGCTACAGATACCAATTTTATATGGCTCAATTATAGAAACCTCAGCGGCCCTGGTGGGATTTGAACCCAAGACAACAAGGGGAAGGCTTTAGTCCAGCTAATTCTCTAACGAACTGAGCTTCGAAGCCCCGTCGGAAACCGCGAGTTGAATAAAACTTCGGTCGAGTAACTAGTGTGGTCTACTACAACGTACGAAATCCACCAATTCTCATAGAATAAACCGTCTGCCCAAGCAGGATTTCCTAAGTAGTTAATATGTAATCCACCAGATGACTACCAGGATTCCTTAGTTAATAGGAGATTTTGGCAGATTTGAATAATTTGTTTGACCCGATTGGAAGGAAGTCGGTAGCCTCGGTGGGATTCAAACCCACGACAGCAAGTGAAAGGCTTTCGTACAGCTAACACTGGAACCGCCCGAGCTACGAGGCCCTACCGGAATCCATGTGCTTAATGTATTTGATGTGTCCCACATTGAAGGAAGCTGAAACAATCTGTAATTTGAGTAAAAATTCATCAATCCATCAACATGTCCATGCACACGAAATGAAATTGACGTTCTCCATTAACTATCGAATACATTTTCCCCCCTCATTCGTTGTCACTGAAAACCACTTAGTATATTACAAGACAGGTTGATTTCAGATGGATGCGTTTGTACTCTTGTTTCAACTAATCAACTAATTGATTATTTTGGCCAAACAGATGTTCGGAATCGTAGATATAGGTTTCATAGCTTAATGTTTTGGAAAATTTGTCACGAAGTAAGACATTTTGCTTTAGGTAGGATAACCACTTAGCGCGTTGCCAGTACAGTTTATAAATGAGTTTTCTGAGGTGGGTTTTCGACTAATGGAGATTACTTGGCTGCTGTTGTGATATACTTTTTCCTGGGGGATAATCCCAAGCCATTGCAGTCATGCTGGGACGCCGAATAGTAGGTACGTTTGTAAATAAATTTTAAAATATGCTAGGTAAGCTCTATACTGCCGGTGTTGAGTAACTTCTAAAATCCTAAAATAATTAGTTGCTTTTTTATAAAATATTTTTCTCGCACCCCCTGTAGTATTGTGACTTAGCAACCAAAGGCGTCTTCATCATACGACCAAATTGTGTTTGCGCCGTCTTTTTACTTCAAAGGGTCTAGAATTCTTAGTTAGCCTCCTTACCCCAGCTAATTTTGTAATAAACTGTACCTTACAGTTTTTGCCAAAATGAAACTGAAAGCCTTTTGTCCCCACTGTAATAAAAGGCGAAATTTAAACCGCAGATTTATATAATTTGTTTTCTTTCTGAAATTGCGTTCGGCAATTGAACTGCCGCAGCCGTTTGCGTTTGCTGGCCATTATTGTTTACGCGCCTGCTTAGAGGTGTTATCTAGCCATATAGAGTTAAGTTTGTACACTTTCACGGTTTCATCTAAGGTAACCTAATATCCGTTAACGTGTATGATGTCAGTGTTTTTTTGCAGTTATAACTTCAGCATAAATTTAGAGTAGTTATTTTTAAGAATAAGTTTAAGGTTTCGGTTAGCAAACTTGTTTGTCACAATATATTCAATTATCAGGCACTAGAAAGCTTTCGTCAACTTTCTCAAAATTCAGATATGGTTTTACGTTTATTGCCTGACAGTGTTTAAATCGTTTTTACTCAAGCCACTACATGCGCCAGATCTTGGAAGCTGTTAGGTACTGCCACGAAAACAATATTATCCACCGTGATCTGAAGCCTCACTGCATCGTCCTGGCTAGTAGACAAAACTCCGCGCCCGCCAAACTCGGTGGATTCGGCATCGCTGCCCAACTTAATCCGGACACTGGACTCATCCCAGGTGGTAAGTTTCCAGCCAGATTTAACCATTTTTCTCTGTACTATCACTGCTCTTAAAATATTTGTCGCTATTTATCATCCCGTTTAGAAATACTACTACGCAGATATCTAGATTACTGGAAACTGCATGAGGTTGATATCGTACCATATTAGCAGCGAGGACTATTTTAAAGTGAACTTCATTCAAAATATTTGTTTCTAGCGAATTTTTCACTCCACCCAGTTGTAAATAACTCAGCGGCCTCTGTGCGAATACCCGTGGGTATGCCGATAGGCAGAAAGAAACACATTTATTTAGGATTTTTTCATAACGTCAAATTAATAATGCTGGAAATTGCGAAGTCAAGAGAAACTATAAAAATCTTTGGCCGACAAAAGAGCATGCGCAGAAACAACTGTTTCATAAACCAACTACATCACATACTAAGAGTAACCGTTTTGAGTCTTAACGGAAGTGCATTTTCGTGCCATAATACTACAAGGAGACGCTTACATTGGAAAAAAATTTCCGGCCAGGCCCTGGTGTCACAATGCAAGCTTTTAGTATCAAATATAATCGGTGTTTTCAAGTAGTGAAAACAACAGAGAAACAGTCATGTCGGCTTACCTCAAGCTAGTAGTATGAGTATGTCTTAGGCAGATAGTATTGCCGGCAAAGACAAGTAGACTAGAATGGTCATTTATGGCTTATTAGCCGTCGCCAGTCAGTCATACCCGTTAATCAACGAGTATGGGTATGTTTTTTAGCAAGCTGTTATTAATTATCTCACATAATCTTTGGATATGATTGTCAAAGTACGTATTTTCGCAAACATCCATGTAAATTGGCGGACTTGATCTACCTTTATCCTCCATATTACTTTTTCTGCATAGTAAAGGCAGCAGTCCAGTTTCGTGAAGTTAATAAACAGTACTTTGATAGTCCTATGGCTAACTTACCGAAAAATCTTTAGCTTAATCTAGTAAAACTCCTTACTCTGGCACCTTTGTTCTTCAGTCCTTTATTTATCTGTTGTTACAATAATTTGCAGGTGTTTGACAAAATCATAAAAATTATGTATAGTCGGGATATTTAATTGCGACTTATAGGTGCTCAATTTTAATTCGAAACCACACTAACTAAAAAAATACTGGTAATTAACATTTTGGACCATATATGTTGATTCTATTTGCACTTAATTTTATCCGCACTTTCGTAAATGTGTTGATTAAATAATTTTAAATTTTACGAGGACTTTATATGATCTTTAGCAGTCTGCTTAGGTTACTCTTCTTGACTGAACTCGCCTCTGTATACACTAGATGTACCACTGACCGTCGATCAAGAAATTTTCGTATCGCTGCGCGAAGATCAATGCGGTAAGTCATATACATTGCCATACTTCCTACAAGAGCTTCAGTGACTATTTAATAACAACCGAATAAATAGCCTTAGTAGACGCTGAATGTGCCCTAGAACGTTGTGATTAACCTTTTTTGCTAACTACCCAAAGTTAGCATTTCAATTAATTTTCCGTGTTTTCTTGGAGAATTTCATTTTTGTTTACGATTAAATTCCTACTGCTTCTGCTCTGGTTCCCGTAGTAAAAAATATAGTTTATTTTGACTCACTGTTTTACTTGGTGTTAATTTTCGTAGGAAGAATTGGTACTCCACATTATATGTGTCCAGAAATGGTACGACACGAAGCCTACGGGAAACCCGTGGACGCATGGAGCTGTGGCGTATTTCTGTTTGTCCTCTTGAGCGGATCTCTGCCTTTTTACGGAACCCGGGATGCACTGTATACGCAGATTCTTACCGGGCAGTACCGGGTAAATACCCCTGACTTAAATTTGTGCGTACTCACGTGTTTGAAAATAATTATTGCTGAACACTTCCATGAAGAACGCTTTACTTCTGTCGAATTAAAAAAAAATTAAGTAATATTTTTATTTAAGAGGGCAAACATGTTTGCCAAATTTACATTTTTTAGCCGTATGGGGTTAACTAGCAATATTTATCTTTCGATAAAGCAACAAGATTTGCTTAGTTTTCAATGCGGCCCTTTAGTGCAACTTGATAGCGAATTCTACAGAGTATTTTGCTTATTATGGGATAGGAGTCCACTTGACTAAAGGCAAAATTAACCAAAGTTATCACGATCCATTTCAGTCAAAGGTTCTTGCAAGGTATTCGTCATTTATTTTTAGTATAGAATTTACAAGCTAAGAGATACACCGCGATATAAAACCCTTGGAGGTAGTTTCGTAGAACAAATAAAATCAAAACAAACTTAGCAACCTTTGGACGCTCTCTGGTACTATGCCTAAGCGGCATATAGCTGAATCCCCGGTTCTGTAGTCAAACTAACTAATTTTTCAGACTTAACACATTGATTTATTCAGGAATAGCTTGGTCATGCCTGCTTTTAGCTTTTATCGGCCTAAGCGAGGAGGACTCGTCGCGTAGGTTTGGCGTCCGGTGGACATGGAATATAGGCCCTGGGCAGCAACGCCCAACGCTGAGATACTTAGCCGAGGAAAGGCTAGGTGGAAATATTGCGGATTAATTTTCCACATTCTTAGGTACTAGTGACATTTTACTTCACTTCATTGTACATTTGGTACGTCCCCCGGCCAAATATGATCGTTCTTCATGTATTCTCATTAGGCTTCGTTAATACTTCTAGTCCTGTTACTAAATATGATGTCGTGAGTACTTTAAACTCTGCCCTTCGTCATCAGTTCACGCATAATTAAAGCTAGATTTAGCTGAGCATAGTTTGGAGTACTCTTATGGTATTTTATCAAGCGATTTTCTCATTTCTGAAGGGACACGCAATTAGATCTATCTCCTCTGATATAACGGTAGCTAAAGTAATAGACGAAACGGAGATGGTTCAGACCAAAGCTTGTGGAGTATTTTCTTTTTTGATAGCCAAATAATAGGGGATCTCTGAGTAGGTTCTTGGAAATGCACAAAAACTAACTTTATGAGGACCTGACTGGTGCAAAGTAAAGCAGTGCCTTGAAAGGAGACCGCCATTCCTTAGAATGCCAACTATCGCAGCATGAGCATTCTCAAGGGATCTTGCAGGGAATGATGAACGCCGGGACCAATTGGATAAGGCTTCTGAGCTCATTCTCCAATATCCGAATAACGTACAAATAACCGACAATTTGTCGACCTTTCATGCGTAGAAGAAAGCATTTCCATAGGCTTAATGAGCCACTGAATAGAAGTTCGCTTTTAATTTGGTGGATAGCTCTTGAGACCATATCGAACCCCCACCCTCTCAAATGAGATGCCACGTAGACTGAGATTGCCTTTAAATATGGACTGGCTAGCTGAGAAGTGATTGCTTAGAAAATTGTGCTAGCTGGGCAAATATTCGCTTCAGAGCGTCTTTTCTGAGTTGAACACATACACCTCAATATGTTCAGCTATATCAGAAAGTCACTTCTACTTTAGTTTATGGCCTAGAAAAATTCATCTTGTAGACGGATTTCGTGACTACTTCGCAGAGCGCAGCAATCCCATTGGAGACTTTTAATGCCCTTACACGCTGAATGATGGGACAATTGTTTGGACTATGGAAGTTTACTAACGGATATTAGTACCACAGGCGTAGATAACAATTAATAAATAGGGCCAATTTAAGGCGGTAATGATTATTTTTTTGTAAGTGGATGGAGGTCTTACTAGGGAGGCAGTTTTTACTAGTACACTGTTATTCATACGATTATATTATTGGTGTGAATGTGAGGGTGAGCGCAGCCCCGGTTTGTTTGAATAGGATGTCCAGATGACTGCCAAGAGAACAATTTCCACGTAAAGATGTTCTATCTGTCTCATTAGTTCCTGCCGCTAGTTTGCCGAAATATCCACTCTTAGGCTATCACAGAAAATAGTAAAGCCATTATAAAATCTTTGTTTTTAAAAACAATATCGTCTACTACTAGCTTTACGTCTTGACACCTCAGTGAATCACATGAAAAGTCTTACACTTAATAACTTAAGTTCATGTCATTCCGATAGGGAATATTTTTTTTATTTAATGAGCAGTCGCGAGCTCTACGGCTCCCCTATTTTTACAGAGGGTGAACTAAGGGTTCTGCCAGGAGCCCGGAATTTTAAAATACGTGGGAGCATTTGGCCGGTTACGCATCATAAGCGCTAGACCGAAGGTTTGTATTTGCCCTTATATGACAGGCCTAAGTTTCCGACGGCCAGCTGATTTTTCTAAATGGAAAATCTTAATGTTAACTAGTCGACTTGTTTACAAGATGATGAGCACACGCAGATAACAGAGCTTTCTTAGTATCAACTTTTCCTCGATAGATGATGTTTATGGTCTCGAAAAAGGTTCAGTCATTTTCCAAGCCCTTTTGAGCAGTACTATGCAAACATTTCTAAACTTCTACACGTATTTGTGTTGTCACACTAATATGTCTAGCATATGAGTGAATTTAGTAATTTGCGTTAGATTGACCTTCATAAAACCGGTCTGGTTGCTTAGCCGACCGTCCAGCCCTAGGGACAATGCAGATGTATGTGAATCACGAGCAGTTGGTAAGCTCAGTCGACTAAAAACAGGTGAAGGAAGCGTTATTATTAGTTTATATTTCATCGTCAGTCATTTGATAGAACTCAAAAACAATTTAACGGTCGCAGTTATACGTTTATTTACGTCGTCTTTCGATCAAAACTTCAAGTCAACTTGGAACATCCTTTCCCATCAGGCAAAGTGTAATCGTTTAATCATACATCCATCACTTGGGCTGGCTTAATGTTCACAGGGCTTAAGGTCACGTCGACCTAACTTTTAATATTTTTGATTGCCAGACGAAGAATGAGCCTCTTGCGTATCTGAGTGTTCATAAATGTAATACATATTGTTGTCCCGGTAAACGTTTTGGGGCTGCCTAGCCTGCAGTTTAGTCATAACTTACGTCGAAAAATAAGTTATAACTCTCTACTACCCCTCATCATTTTTTCGTCGATAATTCAGAGTGTGGTAAGTTTTTGAGAACCCTAAAACCTTTACAGGATGTCTATCACGCTATATTGTCTGTTGAAGTGACGATTAGAAAGATAAGGTAGTGCTTGCCGTACTTTTCAGACACTTTCGCCCACTAAAATCTACGTCTTTCAACTGGTATTTTTTATATCCTGGATGATATGCAAACATAAAATTGATAATAACACTATCAACAACTCCAGATAGTATCATTTTTATCAAAAGGATTGATCTGTTAGACAGCGTAAATCAGGCTTTAAAGATAACTGTTTATTTAAGGTTAAGTTCAATTTAGTTTATCGTAAATAGTAGAGGTACGGCTCCCTAAATTGTTTGGGCTGAACCGAAAATATGGCGGCATGGGGAATGATGTCCTACCACAAAGGCCAGTCGATGTACATTTTCGGAGTAGTATTTGATAACTTAGCCTGATTTGCCTCCATTTCTATTGGTTATTATACGCAGGCGACTGCACTACACTTGAACAGAGTAATATTAAAATGTGAACTGAATCCTTTTGTTAACGTGCAATCCCTCGTTTAAATTTCGATTTTTAGGCAACTGTAAATGCCCAAGATAGTTCTATTGCGGTAAAACAGTTGCTAATTCATATGAACAGAGTAAACCAAACTAACTCCTGATTAAAAAATCCTCCTGGTGCAAATAATTAATTCACTACTCATAAGACGCAAAATATGTTTTAATACCAGTTATTTAGGCCCACTTTACCAGCATTTCCGACACTAGTGATTACGGCATACTTCCAAAACTATATTTGGTCTACTGTTACTCACTTAATCAAAACGGAAAAAAAGAAAAAAAAAGATGGGAGGTTTTGTGTGAATTGATTAAAGGTGACATTCAATTTATGTTGGTTGACTTGAAATTGGGATGTTAATGGTAGCCGTTGAGCTTTTCAGGAAAATAAAGGTAATTTATATGTCCACATCAGCTACATAACTTTCCGGTAAATATTTTGGCTGGCAGAGCTAATACCTCCTTAATTTGCTTTTATGTACTGAAACATGCTCCAGTACAGTTTTATTATCCGATTTCAATTAAAGTTACCTCTGAGACAAGAAAAATTGCGTGTCTGGTTATGGTTGGCATCGCTTGTTCATCAGGGAACGTATTTCACCTATTATTTGGACGACTGTTTTCGTACCCGCTTAGCACTCCTGATCATTGAGTGCGTGCAGGTTCACGAACGGTGAGTGGGTGGCTGACTGGTAACAGTGCCGTTGACTCCGATCTGTGTTAGCTGTTCAAATCTAATTTTTTTTCCTTCACGCATATTCCAACAGTACAACATCATCCCCATGGCTATCAACCTTTGATATAACTGCTTCCTAGTATATTTGCTAATCAGATATAGTAACGCCAGGGGTATTTTTACTTTTTACGTGCTTACTGAATTCTATTAGCCATGTTATCGTGAGACATTGTTTTTTGGATAATGACGCAATGTAATCTCCGACACTGTGCTTAGGGCCGGATAATCTTGTGAACTTAGTTTTTTGCTGAACATTATCTAGCTAAAGTCGATGCCAGAGGTTTGCGAAAAAGGTTCCGAACCCACGTATCTCTGTTATCTCTACATCAATATGCTAGTCTTTTATTTACGCGGAAGAGCTTCTGACTAATATTTAGTTCAGAGAACGGAACAGGCGACATTTACGTACGGAAGTTTCGGAAATTATTTTAGATATCTGCGCATTACGTGTTTGTTTGTAAAGGACGTATCTTTTGAAGTGTAACATACTCATTCGCATTTATTATTTTTGCAAAGACCGAAAATAACTTTTGGGCCATTATTTTGTGGAGAATTTATCTCAGCAAATTACAACGACGCTGGTTTGCTTAGTTGTGGCTTTGACGTTGCTTTCAGTCCAGGATAACACTTGAGGTTTGAACCCGGATCCGCTGGACTGTTTTGAATTTGAGTTCAACGCTCTGTCATATGCCATCTGAAACTGTTGGCTGAAATGTGGACTCACACACTGTTTAAGATTATTTTCCAAAATGCCAAATTACTAGCATACAGCAATCTACGTTAACTGGGGCAGAATATTTCGAAGGATTAGGCCAAGAGAGGCGATTGCAAGCGCCGCTGTTGCTTGCAGGCACCTTGATGCAGTTTGCAGTCAACGGTTCGGACCTCAAAACAATTGGGTGTATTATAAAAGCTGACAGTACCTGATATCTATGACAAAATTATAATCAGACCGTGGCCCGGTTAAGGATTAAATTATGTTGATAGTGGCTAAGGGACTAGCATATAAACAGCATGTAGTCCGAAGTGTCAATAATAAGTGGAGATTTATTTTCTGTCATAAGTAAAGCGGTCACAATGGTTCATTTGCTCCGTTGTTTGAGACCAGAAGGAAGTACAACGATATTATACATAAGAGAAGGATGCTAATTGCCCTCGTCAAAACGAAGAATATCACTATCTATTCAGATCTGTAATATATAACTCACCAACTTCGGAATGGAAAAAAACTAATAAATACGAGCTCCATCAACACTCCCTAAAACCATCCCAATGGGTGCTACCCGGTCTGCTAACCTCGAGCAACCTAACATGTTGTCCATCTTTTCGCCAAAAGCAAGTGAAAGCCAAGACATAACCGCGAAACATCTCTCGCAAACCCACCCACTCCACTGATTCCAGCAAAATTCCTCAAATCTGCGGAAAGGATTTTTCTATTGGACGGTTTGAATATCTTTGGCCGGAGACCTAAGTTCCCGCCAAAGCAGATTTGGCCACCCAATTTACGGATTTCAAATCCCTTAGCCATTCACTTTAGTTTGCTATTGAGGTTAAGAGTTGCACTTTTGATTACCATAGTCTCAATACCCTGCGATATTTCCTGTCCATGGCATCACATATCGGTCACCTATTTTAGGATGTTGTGCTTCGTGTTATGCTTCAGAATTGAGCGCATTTTTAAGGTGTGGGGCAGACGTGCTTTTTATCCAAGTTTTTAAGTGCTTTAGCCTTCTAAAATACTATTATTTTTGTTTGTTCACTTTGTACTGTTATTTTACCTTGCCTGCGGTGTCCACTTCAGTTTTCAGACTATTATTCGCACAACAGAAGGTCACATGAAGCTTGCGTCCTGTTAACAGAACGGAAAGAGACCTCTCTGCTGTGGCCTTGGACTCTAGCTCTAAGGTTTAGTCAGGCTGACACCTAGGAACGAGAATTACTTTACTGTCAAATATTTTTGACGACAGTAAGGGAAAAGTACATAGTGATTATTAGATATAGCTCATAGCATAGAAATCGGAAGCAAAACGGGTACTTCCCATGGTCATGATCTACGAACCTCATTCTCTTGTTAATTGTCTATTCTCGATTCCAGCTGACAAATTTCGGGTCTGCTAGCTTAAATGGAGTGTGTGTTTGACGCCAATTCGACATAACTCGAATTACATGACTCCGGGTGGGCTAGCTTCTGAGGAAATACATACTGATAATGATCCAGAAGCCTGACTTGACCAGTTAAGTGATCGCTATGTTTGGCGGAATGGTTTCTAAATGCTTGGTTTATTGTCAATAGGCGACAGACAAAATTAAATCTGGATGTGAAGCTCCAACTTAGAACCAAAGTACAGTTTGTGTTCTATGGCCTCGGTCAATTATGGGTTTCTCCTATTCGGCACTGCTTGATAAAATCAGTGACCGATCTTATACAAATTTAACTAAAATGCCTAAACACGTTTAAGATTACGCATGACTACTTACGTGGAATTGAAATATTTAAAATCTTGAAGTATAATTCCAAGACATATAACTTACACCAGATTGCCGGCTTTTGAACGAACATCTTCTTAGTCTTTAGAGAAAACATTACTGGAATAAACTTTCTAGGTAATTAGTGTGCACCTTTTTTATAGATTTTGAACGCCCTTGCATATGCCCATATATTTTATAGAAAACGTCAGCGGAAGTTATTGTACTTATTTGATAGAAAATCACGTTTCTTCAAATATTTTACCAGACAAGTGATTACTATTTGGTTTTCAAACATTTTAAATTGGACGACGATTTAAGGTTGTAAGTTGTTTACTAAAATCGCATCGTTTCAAATATTTTATTACTGTCCTTCATTAAATATACGCTACAGCCCGGATGCATTGCAACATTTTGTGAGTTCTATATGCTACCTTCTCTAGTAAATACAGGTATGTACGATATTTCTTTCACGAAAGGCTCAAAACTCTAAACGTAACTGTAACGGCAGACTGGCTTCTAAATTCTTCGGGAATCCGAAAACGTTTTAAAAACCTAAACCTATCCTGCATTTCGGTATAATATTTCAAAAAGGTGTGATTTATTATTAAATTAGGACAAGAAAGTCTGATTTTGCTAATCTTTTCTGTAAAATATAACTGAATTTCTAGGGGGCATGCAAAATCTATAGAACAAATACTCATTAATTAGGTAGTTATTGTTATCAAATGAGTTTTTTATGAAAGCCGAAAAGACAGTCATTCAAATACAGGTATCGTCTTGTGTTTTAACTATCGTGAAATTTTATTCCAAGCTAATAAATATCCCAAGTCCACTTAAATAATCATGCCTAAATATACACTTTATTGTTATTATTAAAATCTAAAGGAAACTTAAAAATTTTGTTTATTTGGCATGGGATCCATCACTGACTGTTCATTCATCCGAATAGAAAAAGGTCTTTGCTACTGCTTTTGGACTTGCATCGAATCACTCTGATTTGCATCCTGATTAATATCTACGCCTCTAGCAGATGTTTCTCGCAAATTTTTTCTAACGTAAATTTCCCATCTGCTTGCAAATTCTTTTAATCATAGGTCTTTACATTACATGCATACTTAGGCAGACCTCGTCAGGGGTAAATTTTCTGAAATTGTTAATATGCTGTACGTTTTGAGCTAAGACTTTTGCGGTGAAACACAGAGAACTATCATAGATTTCCAAAAAGACGTTTTGTTAGTTCTGCCTCCTAATTCTGACTTGCAAGTAAATTTTAAAGAATCGAATTTTACTGTTTAATGCCGGTGAAATCAATTATCATAGTGTCTTATGTATGCCAGTCATTTTTTCGGAAATGCATTTTGGTTTTTCTGTATATCTGATATTATCACCTTTCAGATGAATCCCGATATCTGGAATTCTATTTCCACGGAAGCAAAGGACCTCACTATGCGGCTTTTAGAAGTAAACCCTCTTCGACGACTTACAATAGAAGAAGCACTCCGTCATCCTTGGATTTGCCAAAAAGCCAGAGCTCCCAAAGTTCACTTGCATGACACTGTGGAAGAAATGAAATTTTTCAATTCCCGCCGACGACTCAAGGTAAGTGGGATGCTTTTGATTTATTTACTATCGATTGAAATGATGCTGCAAAATATGTTTAATTGTATTCTTTGCTTGTTTCAAGATTAATTATAACCTGTCATAGTTTATATTTCTCAAGGGTGTAGCAGTAGTACAAGGTACTTGCTTGCTTTATGTATGTTTTAGTAACGTTATGTGCACACTGCCATTGTCAACGACCAGTGTTCAAAAGCCGAAGGTCGCTCTTTCTACCCTAAGCCACCACTGTTGTAGTTGCATCAGATTGTTTTTATCACGTGACAGGCGACATTTATTTGAGAAAAGGATTATTGCGGGCATTTTTATAGTATAAAGCGGCATAGTTTACCACTTAGCTCTTTAAATATTCCGAGAAGACCCGCTCGTCAACTATTGAAGTTTATTTCCCCGAACTCATTTTACGTATTTGTGACTTCAGCAAGCGTATTTGGATGAGGCCTCCCCCTACTAGCTAAAATTGTTTCCATTATATCGACACAATGAAAGTTAAACTTCGGTTTCGCGTTCGGTCGTCTGTCCCAGGCGAGAAGTTATTTAACTTGAACACGAGCAGTCTTGTCACGCTGATTTTGATCAAATGCTGAATTGTGACTGATGCTTAACTACTATTTCATTTTCTGGCATGTATGTTTACACGAAAAATGATTAGACAATACATAGTGAGGTATTTGCTAGTTGATATTCCCTCATGTAAACTGCCGTTTTTATGTTGCAAGTAAAGAACGTTTGTCAAAAAGCAAAACCATTTTAAGCAATACAAAAGAAATCGCATAACATTTGGATTTCTGACTAGCAATTATCCGAAGCTTGAATATTCAAACCTCCATAAAATATAAATGTTTCACAGCTTTTCCATGGGTACAAATTGATAATGTTTTCTTTACTTCTAAAATGCGTTATTCCTCTTCTTATTCAAAATAGACGCGATGGTCAACAAATTACGGGGCTAATTAGCCAGTATCCTTTTCATGAGTAGGCTGCCTAAACGCGGGGAGAATGCACTCTAGGAGGCTCGTGTTTATTTCGCCGATCTCTTTATGGACTAAAAATGGAGTTTAAACACCTTAGTGCTTGCAAAGCGTCATGTGGTACCTGAACTTAAAAAAACTACCTTAACATGCACTTCACGTCTTAGTTGGGCACATGATTTAAAACTTCACTTCCTAGCTGTCTTAGTTCTGCTGTTCATTGATATGCCCATATATACCGTTTCGCCCTTTTTTATGTCCCCTTATTTTGCGCAGTCTACTGAGCGAAGTACTTTCTTCCAAAAGTGGTACACCCACGTACTTGGTAAAAAAATAGATTTTAATTGCTAAATTAATGCAAGCGAATCGACCTTAAGAAAAAAAAACAAAATAGATCCGCTGCCAGAATGAACACAATTCGGCTTTCAGCTACCAATACATGGCGAGTCCTTACCGTTAGGCCAAAAGTGAATATAGAATGGAATATCATTCATTGTATGTTATACTAGAGCTTGCATATGCGGCTTATTTTAGCTGTGCTTTCACTAGCTCTTTGGTTGGGAGATTTGTTATCCATTTTAGCGCTATTCACGACCTTTTACGATATGTCGAATTACATGTAACAGAATCATTTGACATAAATGCACGAAGTGTTTCCAAATTTCCCAGAATACTGGTCAGTGCGATATCAAAAGAACGAACCATTATAGTAGGTTCTATTTGAGCTACCTTAGTATGCACTTTCTTTTCCGTTATGATCTTGGCTAAAGAAGCCGACAGTTCTGACCAATCAAAAACCGAATACACACAACTTTACAGTCAGATAACATCTTTTCGCCTTCTGTTGACCACTTAATTTGCGTTTTGTTGTTAGGTTGACTACTGGACTGTTTTGAAACATCCTTTGAGGTAAAAATATTGTCGAGCCAACAAACATTTTGCTTGACTACAGCGCACAAGCACATTTCTAACTGGCTGCACGCTAATTTCCTAATAACTGTTTGATTAGTCTTTTTATTCTGACGTCTCCACATTCGTTTCTGTGAAGGTGGGTCTATTTATTATTTTGAAGTAGTCTCTGTCCCACATCCTCAATAACTGCTGCCAAAACCATAAAAAATATTGTTTTGGTTCAGCTATTCACAGTGCGCTGTGACCTTCCGCATAGACGCCAATCCACCTTCATAAAGAAACTGTTGTGTGCGTTTTCTCTGTTTTATAAATACCGGAGACCTATGTCTGTTAATGGCGAATTTAATCAAACATTATTTTCAGGGAGCTATTCTCGCAGCTGTCTCGAGCACAAAGTGGGCAAGTTTCTATTCGGATGTCAATGGAGCACCCACTGACGAATTTATCGAAGAGGACGATGAAGTTACCTCTGCAGGTAAATTACGTTACCTTCTATACCAGTATAAAATTAGGCTTAACTGAGGGAAGTTTTTAGCTCACTTCTTCCCAGTAACCGTCATTTGGCGCAAATGACTGTTTTAAGGGAGAAAAATGGTTACATTATTATACCATGAAACTTGGGAGCTGCGAAATGCTTCATGCGCTTCACAGTATACTACCTTTGAGTCGCTCAACATTCAAATTCACATCCAGTGGAGTCTTAACCAAGATTGGATACTATGATGGACTGCCTGCATTCTCGAAACTTTATTTTATATTGTTTTCTGTACGATATAATCTGCTCAGAGATTCCCAATTGCTGAAGGGCTGTGAATATGGCCCCACAAGATACTACCCTTGTTCTGTGTACTTTTTTAAGCTTAATTGCGCAGCATAGCAGCCGTATGTGTCCCGCTTATCAAGCTTAGACATCTTGTACACACGGTTTTCGATGCAGTCTTAAAGTTAGTGCTACTAGGGCCAAGCTGAAGATGCTTCTGGTCTTGATTTATGCAAATCAGTGGACTACCGCCTGTCAGAAGAATGTGATGTTCATTGAAAAAGTAAAAGTTTTCATCCCACAATGGTGCCGAAACTTTGAAGCACTACTGGGTTCACAACAGAATTTAGCTTGATTACTCCAAGGTGATTTTTCATCCATTTTATATGGAGACTGAAATCGAGGGCTTCACGGTTTTATCCAAAACTTTGATAAACATCGCTATTATTATTAAAGTGCGCTGTGTAATCATACTTTACGGTTTCCAGACTTGCGTAGACTAGATCTCACCCCCTACGACGGTGTTAGTTTTTAAATTGCAGTGTCATCTAAAAAAAAGCTTCCGAGAAACAACGTTGTTTGCGGTGTCGCGGGAATCTGTCAAATATAATTGAACTGCGAATATGGGGTGGTATACAAATTCCAATTGTAAAACTTTGGTAGTGATTTGTAGGAAGCTCGGAACCTTGCTTTTATTTTCCGTTTATTTTATGTCACGTTTTTGTAGCTGATTGTATTATTGATTCGCTTCTGTCTCTTTAAATGACAGGCTAACCGCTTCCATATGATTTTAGTGAACTACAACTCTAATATTTTTGCTAAACAGACCCAATTTTGGCTGGCCTATCTTTTAATGAGCGTGCTTTTTAGTAGCATTAACCATACTTCTCCATAAATCGTAAAGCTTAAAATAAATCAGCACTCAGCGACTCCTAGAAAGAAAGCGGCTTTCGATTTAGTTTAACCGCCACTTTAAAGTATCGGTACTAGTCAGCATCATTTGAGTTTTTTAAAAGTGTCGACAAAACTCGACTTACTTACAGCTGCGGATCGAAAGGACTAATTTTAGCTTGCAACGCGGAGTTATCTGACAGTAGCTCCGATTATCTAACGTTAAGGAATAACATTTAGTTATTTAGTATGTATCGTTTACTTATTCTTTGCTCGTGGACCTCTTTTTTTCTGCTTTTCTACGTATAATACTTTCTTTTTTTTACAATGATTCCGACCATTAATTTCCCCTAGCTTATATTTCTATGGATTCTTTTGTGTGGATGGGACCAGTTACTTGCAATATCTATTTCCCAGTAAGTGACAGAATGCTTGTAATTTTAGCTGTCAGCGTGGTTCTTGATAGCCTTGAAGAAATGCAGTGCTTGACCGAAAGTGGATTGGAGGCCGCAGAACTCAAAGAGTTGGCTTTTCAAGATTCACAGCTTTGCTGCCTACTTGAGGTGAGCATTGTTCTTATTTGTCCACTATTTCAAAAAGATCCATTCAGTCGAATATTCTATGCAAGCGTTGAAAACCAAAAGTGGTGATCATCTACAAACATCGGTCTAAAACCATTAAAACTATGTCCGCTTTCTCGGTTGTTGGTGACCTTCATCCCCTTATAAAAGGCTGATTCATTTGATATAAGAGAACTCAGTCTATAGTTCTATAGCAGGGCACTGCAAATACGTAAGTAACTTTTTAGATTACTAGAATGAATCATAGAAGGCGCATTAAAAAGAAGATATTTATATAGATAGCAGATCATAGTTACTCGTGGTTTTCTGTTCAGAATCTTTGCAATCGGGATTTTTTACTCTTTTGTTTTTGCTGATTACCGTGCGAGCCTCTAAAAGGAATGTTTCCTACATAATCCATTTGGGCTATCCATACCGCTGAAGGATTTAAAAAAAATGACATTTATGCTTTTAAAGCTTGTCGAAAATGGGATTAACCTGTTTGGCGGAATGGCGCAGCGAAATACATTTGCTGCGTCCTGCCTTTGGGGCTTAGCCGAAGGCCACTTATGATTGCCGCTCAGCAGACGAACTTTCTAGGACTTTGATAAAACAAGAAAATTAGACGAAAACCACTTTTTGCGTCTACGAATATTTAACCTAAATTCGGATTAGGAAAGTGAGGCTGTCAGCGCGCTTCACAAATTAGTGAAAGAACTGAACATGATTTCCGAAGCAACCAAAACTTTTTAAGCAAGAAAAGGCTAGTCCTATGGCTCTTCCATATTTTTCAGTTATCCTCCTTATAAAAGTCAGTTATTTTAAGTAAATTCGCCATCTAAGGCGATTTGAACAGTAGGCATTGCGACGGTCAAGCACATTATTTCTGGGAATTCTTTAACCTGATTTTAAATGCAGTTCGTTTGCATGGAGAAGTTAAATTCAGCTACTGCTGACGTTCAATGCAAACTTCTAGTTTTTTTCTCGAAAAGCATATGGTAGGATTCTGTGCATATTGTCTTCTGCCGCAATTGCTCTTTCATCGTTGTTTTATTGCAGATTATTGGAAAATTTACGACCATCGTTTTGCGCAGTTCGTGTAGAAAAATACCAATACTTTTTTGAAACAAACATTCAAAAATCCTCAGCAAGTAAATTGGGGAAATGGTTTGTAGACAAACTGTTATTCCACGTTCGCATTCCCTAAGACAGCAAGAACAATTAAACTAGCGTTTGAGGGAAAGAGATTATCCTCCTGGCTTTGAATTTCTTACTACCGAAAGTTATCACAGTGTGCACTATAAATGCATAATTCCGATACTCATTGTGTTTAAGTATCCTACTGAACGTTTCTCAGAGCACGATAAAGTATTATATACTAGATATTAGGATGTCACTAATCGACGTGACTACTTTTCGTTAATGGATATGTTCAAAAGTAATTGAGTAATTATACACAGATTTCTAATGTGTGTAAGAAGTGAGTGGGCCATTTATTGATATTTAATATAAACATTACGATAGTATTACGTCTCATTATAATAAGCAAGGAATATACAATTTTATCATTCTTAACTTCTGTTATGAATGAACAGACATCATGGTGTAAGCTTTGATATTCGAGCATGGTTTGCTTCCCGAAATCAGTAGAAAATTTAACTTGCTGGGCGGTTTTAAAAAGGGGTTTAGGTAAAAGTCGGTTCGCCCGTCACGTTCTGTTTTAAAAAGTTGTTTTTGACGAAAGTTGTCTTATTTGACCCAATCTACAGTGTGTTGTTTATTGGCTCTAACCGAAATACATCAGTGTTTATGAACATCATTTAATGAATATTCTCTTTCTTTTTCTAGTTGTACGATCACATAAATAGTAATCCCCTCTCACCAAATTCAGTCCTACCAGACAATGCAACTATTAAGTCCAGAGACGTAAGTTGTTTGTGGTTGCGAGATTTGCATACGTAACGTTGG